CACACACACACACACACACACACACACACACGGCGTGCCTGGTCGGGCCGGCCCTGGCCAGAGCCCTGCCCGCCCTGCCGGCTGGCCAACTGCGCCACCTGCACCGAGCACCAGTGCCTCGTGTGCGCAGGGGCCTTCCACCTGCTGGTGGACGAGGCCACCGGGCGGGTGGACTGCGTGCCGGCATGCCCGGACGGCTTCACCCGGAGCGGCAGGCGTTGCCTGCGCCAGGGGGTCCCCCTGCCGGTGGGCCTGGCCCAACACCCGCAACCCATCACCGGCATGGAGGACCGACCCCCCTCGTACCTGGCCCCCACCCACCTGTCCATGCAGGGGGGCACATTGTCCTTGGGCGTGCCGCTGGCCGGCGGGTCGCAGGGCCACCCGCCGCCGGGGCACTTGCTGGTCTTTGCCCGGGACTCCCACGAGCCGGGGCTGCTGCCGGCCGAGGACCCCCTCGGCCAGCCAATGGAGCCGGTTGCCTGGCCCGGGGCCAGCCTGGCCCGGGCCACGGCCTACCTGGAGCTCGGGCCGCTGCTGGATGCCCAGGGGGCCGGGCACTTCACGGCCTTCTTCCTGCAGGATGGCAGCCTCCTGGCCAGGCACTATGAATGCGCCAGTGGCCCGGCCGACCCGCTGGCCACCACGTGCGCGGCCAGCATCTCGGCCGCCACGCAGGTGGCCTCCCCGGCCGGCGGGGCCCTGGTCCGGGTGGACGCCCGCACGGTGGGCCTCCTCCACCAGCAGGCCGGGCTCCTGGTCCGGGTGCTGGAGGACCGCACCCTGCGCCAGGTGAGCCTGGCCCTGGAGCAGCTGCCGGCCGGCTTCGGGCCCTGGGGCCAGGTTGCCCTGGCGACGCCGGCCGGCCTGCGGGCCAGCACCCTGGGGCTGCTGCTGGCCGGGGACCCGCGCGCGGCGCCACCCGCCTCGGACCCCCTGCTGGCGGACGCCGGCCTCGGCCATGCTTGGGCGCCGGTGGCCGTGCCGGCCGGCCCGGGCCGCCGGGCCGAGCCCTTCCTCGCGGCCCTCGGCCGGGACATTGCCACCGGCCGGGCCACCTGGCAGGTGCTGCACCTGCCTGACGGCCCCGGGCCCAATGGCCGGGCCGCCGCCCTGGATGCCACGGCCATCACCCTGCACACGCTGGCCGCCGGCGACACGCCGGCCGCCGAGCCGGGCTTCCTGGTGGCCGCCCTGCCGGCGGCCGAATTCCCCGGGCTCCTGGGCCTGGCCCTGGGCCGGCAGCTGCACCTGGCGGTGCTGCGCTGCCGGGCCATCCTGCACATGGCCTGCCAGCTGCACTACCTGGCGGCCGTGGAGCTGCCCGGGCCGGCGGCCGGGGCCGGCGGGCTGGTGGCCCTCCCCCGTGCCGGGGGCCTGGCCGCGCGCCTGGACCCCGCCGGCCCCGGGCCCCGGCAAACCGTGGCCCTGCTGCTGGCGGTCGATGCCGCGCCCGGGCTCCACCGGCTGGAGATCACCCTGCCCGCCTGCCCGGCCGGCGAGTACCTCCTGCAGGAGGGCCCGGGGCTGGCCGAGTGCCGGCCCTGCCAGGCGGCCATGGCCGACTGCCTGGAGTGCACGTCGGCCACCGAGTGCACCCGGTGCCGGCTGCCGGTGCCCGGGGTGACCGGCGTCTGCGCGGACACCTGCCCCCCGGGGCTGGTCCTGGACCCGGGCCCGGGCGCGGCCACCGCCGGCGAGTGCCGCTGCCACGCGGACTGCGCCCGGTGCGAGCGCCTCCCCTCCACCGGGGCCTATGTGTGCGTCGAGTGCCGGGCCGGGTGGGCCCTGGAGCCGGGGGCCCACCCCGTCCGGTGCGCCCCCTGCCACGGGTCCTGTGCCGAGTGCTCGCGCCCCGGCGATGCCATGGCCTGCACGGCCTGCCCGCCGGACGCGGTCCTCTTCCCGCCGCAGGGCACCTGCCAGGCGGCCTGCCCCAGCCCGGGGCACTATCTGCCGGCCGGGGGCCGGGTGTGCGGGGCCTGCCCGGGCGGCTGCGATGCCTGCTCCGCCGCGGACACCTGCGACCGGTGTGCCGCCGGGCGCTACCGCGATGGGGCCGGGGCCTGCCGCCCCTGCGCCGGGGCCTGCGCCACCTGCACCGAGGAGGGCAGCTGCTCCGCCTGCCGGCCGGGGCTGGTCTTCCTGGACCCGGACCCGGGCGTGCCGTCGCTCTGCGGCAGCACCTGCCCGCCGGGGGAGTTTCCCGGGCCCGAGCGGTGCGCCCGGTGCGACCGCTCGTGCGACCTGTGCGCCGGCGGGGCCGCCCACTGTCTGGTGTGCGCCGAGGGCTTCCGGTGGGGCGCGGCCGCCCCGGGCCCCGGCAAGACGGGCGCCTGCGTGCCCTGCCCGGCCGGCTGCGCCTCGTGCACCGACGCCGACCGGTGCCTTGCCTGCGCCGGCGGGCTGCTCCTGACCGAGGCCGGTGCATGTGTCAGTACCTGCCCGGCGGGGACATTCTCCAACGGCGAGTCGTGCCAGCCGTGCGACATCAGCTGCGCCGCCTGCGCCGACGGCCAGCCGGACCGGTGCACC